CTCTCTCTCTCTCTCTCACACACACACACACACACACACACACACACACACACTTTGTTGCCTATTGTTTAGCATCATTTGTTGGGAAAAGAAAAAGCTATTCTACCCTATTGTATTACCTTGGAATGAATAAATTGGCTGTATGCATGTACATGTTTGTGAGCTTTCTAGATCAATATGTGTAGCCCCAAGCCAGTCACACTGCCTTGTTTAATGCAGCTTTATGGTAAGTCTTGAAATCAGTTTCTATAATGTCTTATCCTCCTCCAACTCCTTCTAGAAAGGGCCTAATTCACTCCAGCCTTTTAAACTTACAGAAGTGTATCCAATTGGATGAACGAGACTTGCATGCAGAACTCTACACAGACGTTAACCATAGAGAGTTCATCTCTAGCTTTGCACCCTCTCTAAAATGAAGAAGTAAATGGAGACCAAGGAGGCAGTCCCCAGCATGGTCAGGACTTCCTTGGTGGAGAGCGGGCTTGATTGGGAAAACTAGTGTAGACTGGAAGACTGTTTGGCACAATTTTTTTAAAAAAAGGTTATTGACTATCCTTATGGGATGCTGAGTAACCCTTTTCTGTACTGAGAACTATCTACCCAATAAAGGAAAAAAAAATTATGCTTCCAAGTTAGCTGGAGCCTGAAGATGGCGTGTGTTTCTTCCTTATTCCCTTACTGCTTTTTCTATTGTGATAGCCCTGTGACAACTCAAAGACAAACTCCCCATGAATGTCTCCTTTCCAAATTTGTTGCCCTACCTTCTCTATTTTCTAAGTGTTAACTTTTTCCATTCTAGTATACCCTCAACTGAGAGAAAAATACCTAGAAGGACTTAAAGACATGCCTTCTCACGCTGGATTGATGTATTGACTACAGTATTTCAAGCTGAAATCACTTGAGGAGTTGTAACTTCAGAAAGGGCTATTTGCTCCGTCTTTCCCTCCAAGAAGCAAACCACAAAGACTCTTTTGGGACAGATGTGCTTCACGTATCCACACTGGACAATAACCTTGCTCACCATACAGTGGTCATCAGACAGCGATTAACTTGGGTAAACAAACTCTGAGGTGACCTTCCAACAGTTTCTACCTCTCTTCCTCATGTCTGTCTTCTGGTAGCATCCCTAGAGTTTACCACCCTGGTCTGGATACCCATTTGTGCTGTTATTCCTTCAGGTCTTAGGTTTTTGGGTTCCTAGATCCAGCCAGACAGCCACACGAGAATGGGGAGGGGTGGCAGAGAGAATCTCTTTCCTATAACTCACAATTAACTGTCATTTACAAAATTAAATACAACACTCTCACATTTTTAAATTGAAGTTTCCTAACAACATTTCGAGAGAATGTTTAATGGTGAGCAAACTTGTCTTTTCCAGTAAAAGAAACATGATATTTCATCAAATTTGGGTAATTTATCCTTCAATGAAGGCTGAAAATTTGAGAAGTATCTAATGTTTCAAGACTACTGCCTATTAACTCCTTACATTTTTCATATTGCATGTTCATTTTTAAAATCGAGAATTGGCTTTTCCTTTCTTTTCTTTTTGTTTTTCTGAGCTGTATCTGTAGCTCCCATTTTTAAATTTTAAAAACCTTTTACATATTTCAAGATAGATAAGCATTAAGTATTTAAGTGTTCTAATTCTTATCAATTTCTTCTTGCTGTCTTATCGTTAGGAAATAATGAGATTTCCTATTTCTTCCTTTTTAAAAATCAAAATATAACCCTAAAGTCATTGGCATCAGAATCAATATTTAAACTTATTATCTTTACCATTTATGTATAAATGAGTTTATCAGTGGAAACTCACATGCTCCTGCAGCGGCACAGATCTGCAGAAGGGATGGGGTAGGGCTCAGGCAACTATGACCACGTGTTACCAGTGCTTCTTGGATCTTAGGGTAACATTCAGCAGGGAGCCGGTTAAAACTGTACCTCTGATCGGATGCAGTTCTGGGCAGGTGTGCAAGAAACGGCAACACCTTCAGGTCAGCTGACCCAGGTGGTTGAATGCCCATGTTCTGAATACCATTGTGCAAAGATGCCCTGGTGGTGCCCTTACTCTAGTGCTTAAACAGGCTGCTTTTACTCATCTGTGCCGGACCCTTCACGTGCACCCTTATCAGAGCTGCTCGAGTCAGGTGGAGGAGGTCTTAGTCCCATCTCTTAGGTGATAAACTTGAGAAATTTGTTTCTGTCAATGTCAGGTGCTGCCTGAGTCCGTACCTGCCACGTGACTCCTCTGCCTGCACCAGACGCCATTTTAGTTGCGTATCAAGCAGTGGTGGCAAGGAGTGAGTGGGTACTCAGATTAGTCCTCCACGATCTCAAGGGCATCTGTTTCTTTTCCTTCTGAAGAACGGAAGTGGGCGGGGAGTCATTACTTACCTCATATGACGATAGGACAGGCCTGCAGTCTACTTCCTGTAGCTCATCCTATGATTTTTAAAGACCACCCTTAAAATTCACACCTTGACAGATTCAGTCGCTCCTCCACCATATTCTGTGGCTGTGCTTTTTGTCTTCAGCATTTTTCTACATATTCACTTGTACGATGATTATAGTAATCCTTGACAGAAAATTATAAGGTATGGAAATTGCAATATATCTTTTCCGAAGCCTAGAGAATTTTTGTTTAGAGTGAATTATTTATTTGAAAACATTTAGCAAAAAGAGGATGCTGAAATCAGAGGTAGAGGATGACCATGTGACCACATTCAAATGACAGTCCCGGAGCTGCTCCACCAGTGAAGAAACTTAATCTGTCCAGGAAAATACATCCAGGGATTTGAGGGGGAAAAATAAGACAACTGAAAATACACAGCATGGGTAGTTCTTCTGGATGTGTCAACTTGAATGAAGTGAAACAACTTTATCCTGCTAAAATTTTGGAGGAAACGGATGGTGGAATTTGCTGAAAAATAAGTTAGTAAATTGATATGTCTGCCACCATGGCAGGCAAAGGATGACTTTTGCTCTACTTAGGTTTTGCGGCATAAAACATGAAGACCTAAAAGAAAAAGTTGATAGGCCAGGCATGGTGGCACACGCCTGTAATCCCAGCACTTGGGAAGCTGAGGCAGGAGGGTTGCTGTGAGTTCGAGACCAGCCTGGGCTACATAGTGAGCTCCAGGTCAGTCTCGAATACATAGTGAGACCCTGACTCAAAAAAACAAACATAGAAAATTGATAATCCTGAGAACTCACTTGGGAAGCTGAGGCAGGAGGGTTGCTGTGAGTTCGAGACCAGCCTGGGCTACATAGTGAGACCCTGACTCAAAAAAACAAACATAGAAAATTGATAATCCTGAGAAGTTGTATGCCATTTTAACAGAGAATAATAAATTGTGGAGATGGGTAAGTCAAATTAAAAAAGAATATGGATAAGGGGAGTAAATTGTGGGAAAACAACACAATATGGGAAAAACTTATAGTGGATAAGGGTGATTTTATTAAGTTTGTTTATATAAATTCATCTCTGTGTCAATACCCTGTGCTGGTGATAAAAGTATTCTCCTCTTGTTGGAACAGGGAAGTACCCTTCTTATGGGAAATTTATGTCCTACTTTTTGGCAGAAAAAGGACAGTCTATGAGCCGTTCCTGAGCCTGCTATTTTTCAGTTGCCTTCAGCTCAAAACAATCGGCACTAAAGTGACTTTCTTGGAAGTGACATGTTCTGACACCCTTCACTACTAATCATCTAAGACATATAAAACTGTCTCTGAGAAATCCTGCTGTATGAAAAGAGAAATACTTTGTTTTCACACATATACTATCAGCAATAACTAATAAAGTAAATGTGTCCTTCTGGTCATCCACAGATAAAGAAAAGATTATGAACTGGATGTGATAACCTTTACCTGTAATCCCAGCAGTCCAGGAGGCAATAGGATCACAAATTCAAGCCCAGCTTGGGTAAGTTAGCAATTTAGAAAGACTCTGTCTCAAAATAAAAAAAATAAAAGTCTGGAGTTACAGCTCAGTGAGAAAGCCCTGGGTTCAATCTCTAATACCAGGAATAAATAATTATGATATTGGATGAAGGTAAAGGGTTGCATCTAGAATCAGGATTTCTCAGCAACTATAATCATTGGCTACTAATAGTTGGTTCTAGGTGATGTAGGATACATGTAGAAACCTGCTTTAATGATAATAGAAATTAAAGCAGATAACAGCACAAATCTTCAGGTAAAAGATTTAATTGAGAAAGAAGAGAAAATAAGGAAAGGATTTCAGCTTGAGGCTAAAGGGGACAGAAAGGCTGATGGAGGTCAGATTGGTCCATTCACAAAAGAACAGGTCTAGCCTTTTGTTTTGTTTTAATTTTGTAGTACTAGAAATCTAACCCACAGCCTTTGCACTAAGCTGCATTCTGAGGCCATTTTAAAAATTTTAAATTTTGAGACAGGGCTTTATAAATTGCTCAGGGTGGATTTGAACTTGCAATCCTCCTGCCTCAGCATCCCAGAGTACTGCCCACCATGCCCAGCTTCAGGTCTAGCTTTTATCATGGAAGAGTAGGTGAGGGGCTCTAACTTTCCATTAGGTCATCAGTGTGGCCTTTTTAAGGACTTCTTTCTCATGCTTTTGAGAATCTCCTCCTAGTGTAAAGCCGTGGCACAGCGGCTGTTTTCTTCCTTGGAGCCATGGTGTCAACCCTGGCTATTAGCACACCTAGTCCCTTCAAGAGTAGGGGATGAGGGAAGCTGTGTTCCTTACATAGTTAGCAAGGGAGGGTGGGGCACCTGTGAGGAGTAACAGGTTGTGGGTGAGGGGCCAGGAATCCCCCATCGCCCACCCCAGGAAGACACTAGCCGTATCACACAGGGTCCCACAGACATCATGCCCAGGCCGGATGAACTGTGCAGAGTTCAGAAATGTTTAAGGATTTAAGAAATATCAGTTGCTCCCAAAGCAGAAAAACTACAATAGGGAAAGCAATGAATGATCTGTTAAATGCTGTGCAATGTAAGGTCACAGCAATTTTATTAATGTACTATTCATAAAAATTCCATTCCATTTGTTAGATTTTTATCCCATGGTAAAAATTCCCCAGTACGCTTGATGTTATGTGATAAATCAGAGTGAATTGCTCTACTGTACTAGTTGTAGTCAAATCATTTGAAAGGCAAGGGCCCGGGATTTAGCTCAGTGGTTCCACCGCCAGTCTCACAAGTGCAAGGACCTGAGTTCGATCCCCAGTACCAAAAAATAAATAAATAAATAACCATTTTAGGACCAGGGATTTAGCTCAGCGGTTCGGTGGCCTGCCTCGCAAGCGCAAGGACCTGAGTTCAATCCCCAGTACCTAAATAAATAAAAATAAAATAAAAGGCAAAATTATTAGTCCCTCAAAAATTGACAGAAAAAAGAATTTCTTATGGTTCATGGGTGCAATGGATTTATGTTTGCTATTTTTTTGGCCCCAGGGATTTAGCTCAGCGGTTCGGTGGCCTGCCTCGCAAGCGCGAGGACCTGAGTTCAATCCCCAGTACCTAAATAAATAAAAATAAAATAAAAGGCAAAATTATTAGTCCCTCAAAAATTGACAGAAAAAAGAATTTCTTATGGTTCATGGGTGCAATGGATTTATGTTTGCTAAATAAAGCAGACTGAGACCCCAGAGAAAGAGTACCTGCAGCCACAGAGAACTTGAACTGCCATGCTGGGTTCAATACTAGTCAGTGTTTTTATTATGGAAAACATAATTATGTGTACTCAAGTGAAAGACAAAAGCACAGCTATGAGATCACAGTTTTTCATAGTATAAAAGTAGCAGTTGTTCATTGCAGAATATTTTATATAAATATTCATAATTGTCTACAGGGATTTCTACTGCAAATATTTTAAGTAGATGTATTTATTTTTGGTTCTCTATTCCTAAAAAATTTAAAAAATTGACAACCCTCCCCCACCACCATGAAAGGGGTTGGAGACAAGGTCTCACCAATCTACCCTCAAACTCATGATCTTTTTGTCTCAGCTCCCAAAATGCTGGGATTACAGGCATGTGCCATCATCCCCAGGAGTGTATTATTTCTTAATAAAGTGTTTGAATACCAGTTCTTTACTTATGCTGCTCTTACAGTTTAATTTTCATGAATATGAAAGAAGCCAATATTAAAATTATAATTAAAACCTAGTATTTTGTACATCAAATTGGATGTGCTGTTGATTCCCATGACAGCATGAATGTCTTAACTGTATTCTGAACAACAAAACTACACTGTAAGAAGATAAGTATACTAAGAAATATTTCACAGGAGTCAAAATGTCTTTTCACGTATCAATACATATATTCGCAGTTACCAGTAATTTTTGTTTTAACTAATGTGAAGCTATGTTCAAATCTTTT